TCCCGGATTGTGCGCTTGCTACATCAGTCTGTGTTTAGCACTCGTGCCGCTAGCATCTTAGTGTTGCTTGTGATCACACATTTTTCCAAACTTGTGTTCAGACATATTATTTGTCATTTTTTGTGCAAAGTTTAATAACCCTTGCAAAAATGTCCCCGAAGAAAAAGCCGCAAAAAGACAGCAATAAGAGAATAAAAATAACCATAGAAGTGAAACGTAAAAATCATTGAAAAGCGAGAACGAGGTGTGAGCGTGGCTGATCTAGCACGCACATACAATTGGTCTACATCAACGATTTGCACGATTTGGAGTTGCATTGTGTTTCACAGCAAGAAGTTGTGGAGGAGAGTTTGTCAGAGGAGGAGGAGGTAACAGCAAAGCAACAATCTTCTGGCGCAATAAGAGAAATGCTGAAAGCATGGGAAACTGTTGCATCGTACATTGAGAAGCATCACCCAAATAAGGCAGTGGCTATGCACGCTACAAATTTATTTAATGATAATGCTGTGTCACATTTTCACCAAATTTTGAAGCGTCGGCAAAAACAAATGTCTCTAGACAGCTTTCTAGTAAAACAGAATTAGACATGTATCATAAATAATAAACCAATTACTTAGATTTTTTTTTTCTGCAAATCGAATTCGCATTCCAGGTTGGTTCATTCCGCATAGAAGAAAAGATGAAGATGATTCGCGCTCCTTAACAATGTATATATAATTTTCTTTGAATAAACGTTATACATAAAATTTTTTGAGTGTTTGTTTCGGCATGGAACGCATTATTGTATTTTACATTAATTTACTTGCACTGTGTCACTCCTGATCACACACTCTGTGACCACATACTGCTCAGCCCGCTTTTTATACCGTTCCGTGTTGTCTCGTGTTATAGCGGTGTCCCCTTGTTACGTCACAGTGGGTAGTGCTGTTACGTCACCGCGGGGGAGGGGGTGTCCTGCATAGCGCAAATACGTCACAATATGTTGGTATCAACCACTGTTATAGCTACTTGTCTTACCATGAGGTCTTGAGCAGACAACCTGTGAGGTAGCAGACAGAGGCCCATAACAATATCCCTGACAATTCCTGCCCAAAAAGCAGAACTGTCACCCAGGTCTTCAGATAGTTTGGGGATCATGCTGTGCCCAGGGTTGACTGTTGTGGATACTGT